CACAACGCATAAAGTGACAGTGAAGACGTCCAATAACAACTGCTTCTTCAGCTGCTACCTGTAAAATGACATATTCTTTATGGGAAATTGCAACGCAAAAAGATTAGCCTTTATGCCTTCGCTCGGACATTTAATCATTTAAATGGTACGGGCGAATGCAACTCTTACTTTATTACTTATTTTTCTATATTATTCATCATTATTCGCTACAGGCAGTAGATGCTGAATGGAGGTATGCTGTTAAGACCCTGACTGCCTACGGCCGCCAAATGAAATTCGAGTAACACTGTCAACACTGGGACTTTACACTGACTATCCAGGCAATCGTATTCATAGTATTATTCATTGCAACCACTATTACTGACGAGGATCGTGCCGTGACGCCAAAATAGAAGTAAGCTGTTTTATGAACAGAAATCCTTCGGCTCGGTTGTGAGCCGCAAATAATCTTGAACTTTGAAAAAAACCAGTTTTTAGCTTTTCATTTAGATTATTTTTGCAATGTTCAGATCCGTGTTTCATTCAAAAATGTTTCCGTTAATTTGTTAACTGAGTGCTCACATATAAAGAGCCGGCTAATGCTACTCACTTCTCCATGAAAGGCGAGGGCAAGTCGTGCGGAAGACAATGATGCCAATAATAATAAGAAATCCGGATCGCTCTCAAACCAGTGAGTGCCAACAACTATAATCACTGCCGCTGATAACTTGAATAACTCGGGTAGATACTGTGCTACGGAATCCTCACCAAAGGCTGCAAAACTTTGAAAATGAGTAGGCAGCAACATGACCTGGCGGAAAATCGGTGGAAAAATTACATCAACCACTGCCTGTCCTAAAATAACTTCCTCTTTGAATAGCTGAAGAAACAAATAAATAAATAAATAAATAAATAAATAAATAAATAAATAAATAGATATATATATATGTATATATACACGTATATATACAAATATGTATGTACACATATATATGTGTATAAAATATAGGATTATATACACGTACACATATGTATACATAAACAGACACATATATATGCGCATATATATATATATATATATATACAAAAATATATGCAAAAATATAAATATGCATATATAAATATATATACCAATACACATGTATATACAAGTAGTATCACCTTATCCAGATGAAAGGGGAAGAGTAAGTTGATACAATGATAAAACGGCGACACATACTACTACGTCACTGAACCTATCACATCTGTCGGACATTAGAGAAATACGAGCGGTTTTACTAATTATTAGGAATATATAAAGCTTCCATCTATTACAAAATTTGATTTTATACTCGGCATCAAAGAATGTCTTAATTTGGACCAACTGCCTCCTGTACTTCCGTTCCTTATTGTCATTTCCATAACTGTATAATTATTATTTCTAAGCCGCACTGGCGCATACAGGAAGAACCCTTGGTGTTTGCAGTTTATATACGCAGCGCTAGCTGGAGAAGCATTGAATTTTTTTTTTGGTGATTTCTCTGCAAGTGTTGGTTTTAAAAAACTTCCTCCGCTTTCGCCATGGAGTCTTTATCTAAAAACCAAATTCAGATATATTCCGGGTACGAGATGAGGAAACGTACAAATGGAAGGGGTAACCATAAGACGTCTTGTGACAATTCGAAGATTGCACGGCCAACTGTTCCGCAACAAAAGTTTATTATTTTCAATTTCCAGCTCATCGGCCATAAAATGCAGCAACTCAGTGGTTATTTGCAGTATTTCCAGAGAAGGCAACTGAAATATAAGCACATTTTTTAGCAATTTACCTGTACTGCTTGGAACTAAATGATTTCTGAAGCTTTCGAAAATATCAAGAAAACTAGGGCTCTGTGGACGATTGGTGTGAGTATTATCCCATGTTGGTGCTGTCTCTGTGGTGCTCCTACAGATCGCAAGCAGCTTTGCCAGGCTCTCCGATCCTGAACTGCGTACCTCCAGTTAGTATTCGCCACCTATTTGAAATATGTGTATTCCTCCCCGTCTTCGAAGGCTATCCGAGTGTTCGCTTATTTTCTAGCGAATATCGCGCAGCCAACATCCGCAACGTGTACCGTTACTAGCTAGAAAATGTCTTTCGCATCGGTTTTGACTTTCTAACGTTATCACACCGATATTTATCAGCAGCTGCTCTGACCAGGCGTCTGATTGTTTATGCAGCTACTAAGAAGTACTTTAAAAATCTTTTGTTTCATCGATTTCTCCGCCACAGCCAATGAAGCTCTTCAGCCTTTGTCAGTAATCGTTTTTCGAATCGCACGTCACCGTCTTCGAATCGGACTAATCGATGCGCAGGGCACTAGGGACTACATTACTCTTAGTTTATGTCGTTTCCTGTGCCGCGCCATACAATATACACTTTGATTTATGCATATTTGACCAATCTTTACTGTACTACCACCCCCAAAGCTGGAAGAGGCCCATTCTGTTCAAACCTGGCGTGAAAAATACGATATCAGTGTCTTTTTGGCGTGCTTTGTTCTGTTTGCAACCCTGGCAAGCTTCTCTACTGACCAACCCGTTAGCACTCCCCTTCTCGATGACGTATCTAGAGACAAATTTTGGAAAAACGGGGAAATCTCTGTTAAAAAAGTTAATACTAGGAAACATGCCTGTTTTTCATCTTTAAGATAAATACTGATAATATCCAGGACGTCGCACATTTCATCTGGGCTCACAGAATCACAGTGTAATAGACGCTGATAACTGCGAAGAGATACAAGCAATTTCGGGAGTTTCCAATTCCTTAAAAAATTTTATCTCGCATTCTAACTTATGAAATGCCTTTTGTAGTGAGTGTTCATACAATCTTTTCAAACTGATACATGCCAGGGATTGTGGTTTATATCGGGCAATGCATCACTTACTTTGTTTTTATAAGCAACGTAAAAAAAGCGTGGCTGAATGGCTGCAGTCGTTCGTTTGCCAACTCCGCTGGAACAGCATCCAAAACGGCTAGTACAATCCGAAACGCCATTTCCGCCTTGCGATGGAGCAGTCCACCAGCTAAAAAGGAGAAGAGACGACAATTAAATAAGAAATGCAAAAATGGTATCATGGACAGGGCCCCATGTCAAAAACTACTGTGGACCGAGAGGAAATCAAATCGCTCAAAGAATAAAGGCCAATAGCATCTAGACGCGACGTGCTACCCACTACATCACCGTTCCTTGTGCTTTATGATGAGCATGGTAACACATCTACTGTGCATGAAAGAATACATTTTCTTTTTCTTGGCTGCCTCCCATAGGCAGTACATATCTTTTTTCTTAGTGACAGCTTTTCTTTGCCGGCATTTCGTGAGTTTTTCACAAGAAACAGGACTAATTAAGAACATACTGCAATAATAGGAAGAGCAACACAAATTTAAAAAAGCCTGGATGAATGGCACTAGCCAGTGGCCTCAAGTACTAACCAATGCCTGTAATCTGGAATGGATTCAAGCCTCACCATTACTCGAAATATTCACAGACATGATAAAAACAGCATTTGCCTACCGCAGTCGATTATCGTTTCACGAAGAAAAGTGAGAGGCAGTATGTCGAGCAACTTCTCAGCCTCTTCTTTTTCTAGTCGTTGGCTTTTGAACACTTTAGTAAGCTGCAAAAAAATTGGATTAAACGTACAAAAAAGTTAACTGCTCTCGCCCCGTGGTAATCGTCGTCGAGAGCAGCACACTTTTCCAGTCCCAATTTCATTGTACTTGTTCCGGCTAGTAAACTAAATTTTGACATGAGGGGTATAAAGTATGATAAAGATTCCTATTCAGGTTTTTATTCCGATTTATTTTATTCACCTTCCTTTTATTCCCTTCCTTTTAACCCTTAGTTTTTACATAAACATACATCATCTAAAATTACAACAAAGATGCCAATTTTTCATTTGTCGCTCTAATCATTTGCTGCAATATTTTTGTTTGTCACTGCTACATCTAGCAACTTATGCAATCTTCTC